TTTTTTTTTTTTTTTTTTTTTTTTTTTCATTCAGCATGGGGTTAGTTTGTATATCCAAGATAAAGAAGGTTTATCTGCCTTGGATCTTCTGATGAAGGATAGACCAGCTTATGTAATCTTCAAGAAAACTGGTAGGGCATCAAATAATAGCTCATCCTGCAGGATTCTCTGTCTTCTACCAACCTTGTGTTTCTGTGTGTGCATGCATACTCATGCTTCTGTATGAACCATACTATTTTTAATTGACTAAACACAGCTTCAAGTACCATAGCGTTAGTAATCATTATTGTCTCTTGATAAGAGCACAAAATAAAAGCTTGTTCACATGTGCCAAATGTGAAACGTTTGATGCTAGCAGCAATTGAAATGTTAGAGTAAGCAAGAGTGAGTCTCTATTTGTTCCTTTTAAATTGGGGTGGACAATTATTTCAGCCTGAGAGCTACTTAGGGAGTTTTGTCGTGGGCCAGGTCTGCAGCCCAGCCTCCCCCACAACCCCTCCGCTCCCAACAGGTCAGCAAAACTCTCTAAGTGGCTGTGCTCTGCCTTCGGCCAAGCAGTTGGTATGGGGCCATTGGTGGGTGGGCATTGGCATCTGGGAGTGGGATGAGTGGGCTGGGCCTGGTCTGGGGTTGTGTGGCTGTGATAGTACAGAGCTAGGGCCGGTGCCTGGGGCAGAGCTACAGTGCACTCCCCACACGCTGCTGAGATGGGCACCAGTTACATGGGAAGAGGATCACGGCTCTGCCCTGGGCCCTTGTTATGTGTTGTTACCATCTTGGGGTTTCAGTGAAGACTGGCCGGGATCCATGTGGGCAGGGTGCTGAGCCAGGTGAATGGGATTGGAGGTGTGGGCAGGTGGGGAGTGGCATCCAAGAGTGGGATGGGGCTGGGTCTAGGATCTTGCCTTGTTGACAGTGTGGGGCCATGTCTCAGGCCAGTGGCATGCAGGGAATGGATCACAGCTCTGGCCTGGCGCTACACTGTCACTGCCCTGTGAACCTGGCCCTGCCTGCCCAGCTCCCAGATGCTGCTCTCTGCCCATCCGTGGCCCCATCCCATCCGCCTGGCTGCATGCCCTGTCTGCATGGGTCCCAGCACTGGGTGTGGGGCAGATGGGCTGGGTGTCTGGGCAGTTGGGCTAGGTCCAGTGGTAGCCGTGGCAGCTGGAAGGAGCTGCTGCTGCCAGGAAATGAGTCTGGCCGACACACCACCCCAGTCCTGCTGCGTGTGCCTGCGGGTGGTGGGACCAGCTGCACGTGCCACGGCCTGGACTGACCCCTGTGCCTGGGCCAGGTTGGAATGGGGTACCTGCACCTGTGGGCCATATTTTGCCCACTCTTGTTTTAGATCCTCATGTATTCTGGGGGAAGGGAGGTGGCTGGGGAAGGGGGGAATTGAGACCGTAATGACTTAAGAAGTAATTCTGTCTATTAAGTTTAAGTTACTCCTGGTTTTCAACAGAATTAAGAGCAGAAATAGTATCCTAATTATGTTAATCTTCAAAGGATTGTTAGAACAGCTTTTCAATTTCCGTTTTTTTAAAGTAAGTAATCGTGACAGCCAGCATGTTAACTAGTATACAACTGGCTCCTTGAGAATATGGATGTAAGAATAGTCTTACAAGTTAAAAACTTTGAAAAATTCTCCTTATCTACATAAACATCTTCTTAGATTATAAGTTTAAAAATATTAATTTATCCACCTTTTATTGAAGCTCCTTTTTCATGGTTTTTTTTTCCCCTCAGCTTTAGTTAACTTGAGCAATGGAAATAGTTTATCTGTTTGCTCTTTTACTTGGTTAAATACTTACAGTGTTACTTGGTTGCATAATATCTTAGGTTATTTCTGTTGTTCCTAGAGTACATTTAAACACTATTTCATGATTGTTTTCATTTTTTTTTTTCCTTCTTTTTGCCTCTAAGCAGTACTGGATTATTTGGCAATCTTGTTTTCAGACCTGTGTATTCACTACTGATTTTGATTTTTATCAGAGAAGAAATAGACTTTTAGTCTTTCCCCCCAATAAAGTTATTCTTGAACAAGAAAGAGCAAAAGTACTTTTGATGCAAAAGTTACTTTTTTTTTACAGACCTGCAAAATTTAAAGACCCCATCAAATGTAACTACAGTGATCTGAGAGTATGGATTCTGATCTGTATAACTGTTCATGGTTGTAAAATTAGTAGGGTAATTTGTGCAGTTCTGTATTTAGACTTTGCATGTACAGTAAATGTTTTCACCGGTGATTGCTTTATATGAAAAAATATTAAGATACTTGTGAGTCTGGGAAATAATGTAAAGGGGACACTTTGGTCTTGAGTCTTTTTCTTGTTAAATTATGGCAATTTACATTATTATTCTTTTTTTAAAAAAGGCTTGTTTTAATAAAACCTTATTTATTTTAAAATGGAGTTTTAAACATAAAATGGAGTTAAATTTAATTTCTCATACAGCAGCTGGTTTAGGTAGAATTTTGTCATTGCATTGTAGATCCCACAGAAGTCTACACTTGGGGAAACAACATAAACTTTACTTTGGGTCATGGTGGTCAGCAGAGTAAACACCATCCTGAATTGGTAGATCTGTTTCCTCGGAATGGACTCTATATCAAACAGGTATTCTGAAACCTAATACAGGTATCTTATCTGCATATTCTTGCGTAACCTGAAAGACACACAATTTATATACACCTACTGTAATGAGTCAGACTCATCTGCAGAGAAGTCTAGACCAGTGGTGCTCAAAGTTTGTTGGTCCATCAGGCCTGATAAGCAGCATGGGGCCTGTTTGTGGGCTGGATGGAGCCCTGTGGGCCTGGATTAGTCCTGGCCCTTTCTGGTCCTGTGTGCCCAGCACAGGGCCCAGGACTCCCCATGAGTCCCAAAATTTAGCAGCAATGGAGCAGTACCTATGTTCCCCGCCACCAAATTTTTGCACCTGTGAGGAGCTGAGGAACCCTGCTGGCTGAGGATTGAGCGCCTCTGGTCTAGGTAGTGAAGCTGATCTTCCTAGCGCTCATATGGACAGTCCTTGCTGCATTGGTCTACCATATATTTTCCTTTTAGTACCTGGACTGATCATTCACAGATCTTTTTATAGATGGTGATGAATATAAAAGCATGCATTACTGTTTTGATTGGTAGCCATGACAAATTCTTAAGCTCCGATGCAAAATTAACTTTCGTGTAGGTAACAGGTTAAATATTTCAGTTCAGGCATATGAAGCTATTTTAATTTCGTAATAACCTGTGTCATTTTAGACAGTGAGCTGAAGTTAAGGAAATAACTTGATAAAGTTTTTCTCTGTTCAGGCTTCATACACAGGTCCAATATGTTGCAGGATAAGTTATCACAAGGAAAAACTGACAGTCACCTGGTCCTTCATATAAGACTTTAGTTGCCACAGTATATCATATCATACCATATATTTACTCTTCAGCCTGGAGAAAAGAAGGTTCAGGGGGGACATGGTGGCAGCCTATAAGTATATAAGGAGGGTGCACCAGGATCTGGGAGAACAGTTGTTCACCAGGACTCTCCAAAGGATAATAAGGACTAAGCCACAAACTTCTGGAAGCCTGATTTAGACTGGGTATAAGGAAAAACTTTATAGTTCGAGTGTCCAGGGTCTGGAACAGACTCCCCCCAGAGGTGATGAAAGCACCTAATCTGGATTCATTCAAAAGGCATTTGGATGCTTATCTTGCTGGTATCATTTGGCCCCAGCAGACTTCCTCCCTCTAGCAGGGGGGCTGGACTCGATCTTGTGAGGTCCCTTCCAGCCCCTAATGTCTATGAAATCTATAAACACCAGCCTCTAATGTTTATGAAATCTATAAACAGTTTGTCCATGAAAACCATTATTGGAACTTGAGAATTATCAGTTGAACCAGCGTATTGAGGAAATAATTTTGCTGCATTCTTACGTTGTAGTGTAATTCAGTGTGTTTTATACAGCTCCTGTGATTTAAGACCATAGTGGTGGCCTTGACAAAAACCCAACAGATGGAATGTTAATTTGTTAGGCTGCTGTTGTCCAAACATGGACTTGTATATTTATTAAAGCATTAGGTCTGGTCCATTAGTTTTGTGTGTTGTTAGATTACTATAAATTTGAAGTGACTTTACAAGTTGACTGGTAGTGCCTATTTTATAATTTTAGCTATGAAATTACTAATGATTAAGGTATAAAACTTCATTTAAAGTAAACAGATAACAGAGTGCAGTGCAGCTATAAGAATTTAGCGCTCTCTCAACCCTTATTTATCAGGATTTTTTTTAAAATGGTTTATCACAGCCTGAAAATGATGAAAATTAACTTGCTCGTGTGTCAATGTCTTGTGGGTATGGCACAGGACTTGGGAGGTAGGCATTTATGTTGTTTGTGCTACACTATGTTTCCTGGACTGTAGCAAAGGACGTTAGTTATTCAGTGCTCTTTGGCCTCTAGACCTTTCTAGTCACTAGGTTGTTTCTGGTGGGAGGGTACCATCGTTTCCAGCACCTGTTCAGGCAGCCATGAATCATTGACAAATAGATGCCAAAGCTGACCTCACTTTCATGAGGTGCAAGATTATTTTGTCTTCTGCCTCACTTTTATGGATGTTCTCCCAAAGCTGGAGGTGGATGCAGGAGGCCTATGCAACCTAAGGGAAATCTTGCATGGGCAAAATGAATTGGTCAGGTAAGCTTGTGAGGAGGCTTTGTGCTTTCATAGATGGGCTAGAGAATTGGGGTCCTATGTGAGCCCAGGAATTATTTTACATTTGTAACTGAGACAATTTCAGTTCCTTAATGTTTGTAGAAGCAATTTGGAAATCATTGCCTCTTTCTTAGACTTAGAAACTAATTGATCAAGGTAATTTTTCTCAAAATAGTGCTTTAAATCATTTGATTATGTTCATAATTGGTTCTATAAATGTTTATATAACTTTACGAATAGCTACTCCATACTTTCTTTATAGTATATTGTACAATATTTTCCTGTTTTAAACCAGACTTCCCATAAACTTGCTGTTTGAGCTAAATAGTAATAATAAAAAAACCCAAACAAAACTTGAATTGACATAAAAAATAACATATATGTTTTTGTTTACAGGTGGTCCTGTGTAAATTTCACTCTGTGTTCCTTTCCCAGAAAGGACAGCTTTATACTTGTGGACATGGTCAAGGAGGGCGCTTGGGTCACGGAGACGAACAAACATGCCTGGTATCTTAGATTACAACTATACATTTAACCAGAGAATTCTAATTTCTCATAAGGAACCTAAGAATTCATTAAAGTATTTCCCAAGTGCACTATCAAGGTGCACTTTATATTTTCTTTCATTTTGGGGATTTTTTTTTTTAGCAATAACAATATGTTTTGGAAAACAATGGATAAATCACATTTTCATTTTAATATTTTAAATTTTTCTTAAAAGTTTTAAAATGCTTAAATATATTCTTTGCATAGTGCATAATCGCACTACATATCAGGAAATAAAAATTAGGAGTTCATTTTGGTGATGTGCACCTCATTCTTTGCAACTTTAAAATATTATTGGTCATTTCCTATTTATTTATTTTTTCTGAGAAACCTGTCAGTAGAATGAGGGTGGGCAAAGTTTTGAGAAATTGTGATGTTTAAGCCTGTATCTTGCAACATTGTGTACTGCAAAGTCTCTATTGACTTGATTTAGTATAACCATTATGAACTATGAATGGCAAGCCATAAGTGACTAAGTGCCATGCAAGTACCAGTATAATTTTAGACCATATATATTCAATAAATGTTGCACATCTCAAAAATATAGGCTAGCAGAATTATTTGGGGAATGTTTAATATCTCTTCTAAAACCAGGGTTCCAAATACTAGCTATCTCATGAAAAGTGTTAAAGATTTTGCTGTGGGTTTTGATGTACAATGGATGATGGATGTTGTAGAAAAACTTAAAACGTGTTGTGAATTGTGGTTTTAGTTTTAAAATTGTTTTTCTGAGCAGGTCTAGAAGCAATTATCTTGGAGAATCTGGATTCTTCTCTTTATGGGATAATGTTGTAACTGTAAACTTTGTTGACATTTTTGAGCCTGCACCATTATAATCTAAGAGGGAAAAATGTATGTAGGAGAAAGATGGAAGCCTTTCCCTGACAGGTTTTGATGGCTCCTGTCTTTTCTATCCTCCCACCCATCCTGGTTGGGTTTTTTTTAAATTTCTCCTAACTGTGGTGGTCAAACTATTCAGAGGTACTGGTGTATTTTTTAAAAAAAATATTTATTCTTTCTGGACAGTTGACTTAGTGTAAAGATTGCTGTAGATGTGTTTCAAAGTAATGTAAAAAGTATCTTTTTGTATTAATATGATCTCCATGTGATACACATTGTAATATAGAAATAAGGACCTAGTTAATTTGTGGATTTCACAGAAACTACAACATCTGGGATTGTCCAAGAAATCGACCAAAACCTCACTGCCGGGATTGGAAGGTGCTGGGTGGCATGAAGGGCATCAGACAAGATGACAGCTCCCCCTTTGTCCCTTTTCCCCCTGTTGGGGCATCTCTGCCAATCAGAGCTGAGGGGCAAGACAAAGAACAGCCAGCAATTAAGATGGTGGCCTCCCCCTTGTCCCTTCTCCCTCCCTTTGTGCCTCTTCATCAGTCAGTGCTGAGGGGCAGGGCTGCTGCAATATACCCGCGAAATGGGCTCTGTGAGTGGGCCGTGAAAAACCCTTTGACTCACTGCAATTTAAGTAGATCCCTATTAAAGGTGCTCCGATGCATCTGTCCCATATTGGATCAGCGCTGATATAGGGAAAATTGACAGTATCAAAAACCAGCTTTCTTTGGCTGAAATGGCTGATAAATGCCCTGTGCATGGGCACAGCTGCAGCATGTATGCGGCGAGGAGCCCAGCCCAGTGGCTTGGAGAACAGCATCTGGCTGGTACATCTGTTTTGGAGGAAGGGAAGGGGCATGGTGGTGGCAGATGGAGGCCCCCACTGTAAGGGTGGGGAGTGGAGCTGGGCCAGGGGCGGGGCAGACATTGCACAGCTGGGGAGGGGTGCAGAACGGAGCTGTGGCTTGTCCGGAGTGGGGTCAGCTCCTGCTGCCCCCACTGCCCTCCTCAAGACAGTAGTCAGGAAGGCACTTGGAGCCCAGGGTGTAGCTAGTATGGGGGTCCAGGAATGGTGGTCCTTCCTCAAGGAGGTATCCTTGGGGCACAGCAGGATGCAATTCCTCTGTGCAGGAAGGTGGGAAAAGGGTCCAAGAAACCTTCATGGCTGAGTGCAGATATCCAGGCTGGCCTGAGGGCAAAGAAAAAAGCATACTGGCAGTGGAAGCAGGGGGCAGGGGCAAAGGAGGAGTTCAACTCCCTGACTGGAGCTTGTAGGGATTTGGTAAGGAAGGCTAAAGCAGCACTGGAGCTTAGATTAGCTTCTGGGGTTAAGGATAACAAAAAGTCCTTCTTCAAGTATATAGGTAGCAAGAA